GTACCAAACAGAAAATAAATTGCCAAATTAATCACCAGTGGCAACTGTGCAAGTGATCAGCTGTTTCGAAGGTTGCAAGTTTTTGCAAATTTTGCGTTCTCGTACTTCTGTTGATATTTCGTCTCTTTGAGAGCGAATGCTGCTAAATTCTCAAAACTTTTGCTGCTGGAGAATTTTGTCCTCTCAATACGCGTACACACCTATTGTAGTACCTTTAAAGAGAGCCGCACTGAGTTGTCAATCACACCTTGTTTAATACACCTTGGTTTTACCTTCCCAATAAACATTGGGCTTGGTTAACTATTCGAAAACGGTTGGAAAACAGATCTTTTTTCCAGTCTGACCTTCGATAACTAATGTGGAATAGGTTAGTATTCGATTCGAGAACTTGGCCATTCTCCAGCAAAACGGAACCGTCGTTATCCAATGTATTTTTCCTTCGTTAAGCATTCGAAATCCAGCCCATTATCGAATTGAAATTTTAATGAGAGATAGTAATTTTCTAAAATTTATTTTCGAGAAAGAGCTGGATTTCACTTTCTCTCTTGTTGCTATGGATTTAATTTTTTTACGAACCCATCTCGAATGTATTTCCAATATACTATGAACCAAGGCGAATTAATATAAGGTGATAGCAGGAATGCAAAAACAAAAATTTACATGTATTTAGTTTTTGCTTTGGCGGCATAAACTGTCAAAATCTGTAAGAGTATGTATAGAAATTCAAACAAAATTTTTCAATTTTATATCAGAAGCCGTGCGGCGAAACACATACGCAAAATCAGCTGAGCTAGTAACACCACCTTATATAAATTCGCCTTGCTATGAACGTTGGAAAACTAAGGTTGGTTATGAGTTCGTTTTTATTTCGATATGCATATTGGATATCGAAGGTAATTTTCGAATGTTCGCCAAAATGCTTATAGCGTTGTTATGTTTTTATTATGACTACAATCGTATGTACATGGTGTATGAGTACGGTGACCATCCGTCCTTTATTTTAAAGGACAGTCGTTTATTTCAACCCCCTGTCCTTTACCTTACACCTTTTGTCCTTTATTTCTTAAACTGTCCTTTAAATCCGCTCTGCATTTTTCAGAGGTAAATGTTTAAACACAGGATATGAAAAATAAAAATGTTCCTTATAAAATATAATGAAAACCTTCGCCAGTTTGTTTCGCACTTAAGGGTTCCTATTTAATCGGTAATCTTTGTACAATCTATAAAGCACAGGGAAAGTTGTGCCCAGGATCGTGTTGCACGCTGAGTTTCCAATTCCACTGAAAGACAACAATAAACCACTGCTGCACAGTGGTTCAAAACTGGAATTTGGTGTTTGTAATTCACTGAAGGCTTCATTTTTCACTTAATTTGATTAATTTTTTTTTTTTTTATGAAAGCCAGTTAATAAATGTTACTTAACAAAAACTAGTTGTTCTCCCAAAACAAAAAAAAAAAATACACAAAAAAAAATTTTGAAATGTTATAAAAAATGTTCACCAAAATAAATATTTTTTTTGGTTTACAGTAAAAGTTGGTTGAAAAATGCAGGCTCTGGTGGAATATGAACATTAAATTCCAATTTTGAACCACTGTGTGCTGGCTTCGTCGTGCAGTATGAATTATGGTAAACGCATTTTGGGAGCTAAGGATGGCGGAGTTCTTGAAAAGAATTGGGCTCCATTTTTCGCTACAGCAGGGGAACTTGTTCAGTTAAATAATATAATTAACTGGTAAATATTTGATTTAAATTACGATATGGTTAAGGTACTTTTATCATACAAGTTTTATATACGTATTCCCAAATCGTTTTGAAAAAAAAGTCCTTTATTTTACGTTGGTTAATATGGTCACCGTATGTATGAGTAATGTGACCAACCGTACTTCTTTTTGAGCCGTTGTACTTCGTACTTCGACGTACAGTCAAATGTACTTCTTTGCAGTGTTTTGCACTACCGATAGATTGACAGGGAGGATCAGTAGAGCAGTTGATTTGATTTTCTTTCAAATTATTCGGTCTCTAAGATGCCAAATATTTTTAATTTCTTCTCACAAAAAAAATATAAATTGTCACAATCTTTTTGCATGTGAAACATTTTCCCATACAGCGATTGAAAAGCAACGTTTAGAACATTCACCTAATTGTGTTGCACTAATGCTGATTACTGGGCCTTGCATATCGCACACCGTCTTCAAAAGAGTCACAAATCAAAATTTGGCATTTTTGAAATTATGCGCTAAAAATGTACACAGAGCTTTTATTTACCTTTCAGCAAAAGCTGGAGCAAATTTTTGCTATAATTTGTTTAAAAAAAAACCTAAGGTAAAGTTCGCATTTTCTAACGAACGTATTATTTTGAGTTGTGACTCTTTTGAAGACGGTGTGCGATATGATGGATCAATGCTTCGAGAAGCAAACAAATTTAAATGCTTAATTTTTACTCAAAATCAGGAAAGGTTTCGACACTTTAGATAAGCAACAACAAAATACACATATGTGTTGATTTTGCTCTAATACATGTTTGTTAAGACTTGGTACTATCTTTTAAGTTGAAATTTCTTTAACTGTTTCAAAAAATTTCAACAGGTTAATGATCTCAGTTAACAAAGGTACTCATAGATCAACACATAAATCATGACTTTCAATCACTTCACTTCTCTAGCTGAGAAATTTCATTATAAATGGCTACTCAATCAAGAAAAATCAAACGGTATTAGAGAGTTTAAAAATTCTGTGGCGAATCTTACTTGCTCCAGGCTGAGGTTGAACGACCCAGTCGACTAAATTAACATCTCGCAAAATAGAGTCTGGGAGAGTTCTCGACCTTCTCTATCTAGCAAAACAAATTTGAAATAATCTCTCATTTATTTATAATTTTAAATTCATATATGAAAAATTGAAAAAAATAGTTTTTCAAAAATATGGTTCCCAACATACCAGCGGAGTTCGATAATAGACCGAAAAGGTTGCTTTACGGTTTTTCAAAATGTTCTTAATTTAATGTTTATAATTAATAAGTATTAAAGTGTTTTCATCATCTCTTTTTATTGAGAAAATGCTAAATTACAGATTTATATATTATTCAGTAAAAAAAAACAGATAAAAACGGAAAAATCCTTAAGTAGATCAAAACCACTTGGCGCCCGATCTATGGAATTTCTTTGCCAAGTCCAGCATTTCTTTATTAAATACGTCTGAAAAGTTCTAAAGTTAGACAAAAGTAATTTTTTATACATTATTGTTTACCTGTAAGTACGTTTGAAACTGCCATAGCGTCAACAGTTTTTTTGCGTGGTCCTTTTCAGGAATAGTCGGAAACGACGATCAGTTCCTTCTTGATTGAAAATTTCTTTTTAAATTCACAGACTAGATAAAAAAAAAACAAGAAGGCAAAAACACTTTGACCATATTCGGAGCGATCCGAAAACACTCATTCGAGGTGTTAACGTGGGAGTTCCTTTTTTTCTCTATATTCAGAGCGCTCTGCAGTTACTACTTATTAAAATGACCGAAGCTATGCTTCGTGCAATGTAAAACTTTAAAAAAATTTTCCATGCAAATATTTCAAAAGTGGTCGAATGATTTTTGAATCTGAAGTTTCAGATCGAGCACTTTAATTTGATACATGACTTGTCTCTGTACGATTAGTAGTTCGCTGGGAATAAGCGCCTTGTCTTAGAATAATAAATAGTATAGATTTCTGATTAATAAAATTAATTGGTGAATTGGTACACCGTTACCGCTTTTACAATTTTCTCATTAGTTTTATACTATTTTTGGTTTTAAGTTTCTGTACTTCTTTCAGCTGTGAAATAGTTGGTCACATTATGTATGAGCAACATTCTCATCTCATCTGGGTAACTCATACGCCATGTACGTCAGTTAGTTTTGAACTTTTCCGTGATAATGGTAGACCGAATATTGGTCCTCCATTTTGAATTTTTTAAATCTGATTTCGGACTCGTAATCAGCGGCCTAAAAGGAACCCCTAAATTGGAAATTTTAAGCGAATCAAATCGATTTTGAATTTTATGTCGGGAATATTGGGCCCGCCATTTAGAATTTTTCTAATCTGAATTAAGATTCGTAATCAGTGACCCTGATACCTCACGTTGAAATTCTGATGACACATTCGTGATCAACTACCCTAAAAACATTAGAATCCATCTTGACCTAATAACCGACAACTGTTTTAGCAAACTGAAAGGCAAATTTATTTGCGCGTTTACGGACAGAACGTTTTTATACTGAATTTTCAATTCTGCCACGTCTTATTTATTTGATGAATTACGTTTATTTCTATCCTATAGAATTCTGCGCCGAGCTTTGGTCCGTTTGACATGGAACGTCCCATATATATCTCGATACAAAAATCTTCAGGAACAATACAGTATGAAAAAGTCTTTTTGTACTGGAGGTGTTACGCCCATTTTCTTATAATCCCAATTGTCTTCCACGAGTTTCAGTACCCTACAATAAACACCTCCAGAGATATGCGGTATGAAATAGTAAATATCTCCATACAAACATACATATCTTAGTATCAAGTTCCAGTTCTCTGCCATAAACACCTGCAGATATATGCAGCGTAAAAAATCAATTTCCAATAAAATTGTTTTCTCCATGAGTATTGAATTGATTTATTTTATCTCCATAAGTTTCAGTACCCTACCACAAAGACTGCCAGATAGATGCAGTATGAAAAAATCAATTTATATGGGAAGTGCCATACTCCCTTTTCCAATAACTATCATTTTCATCCGTGAGTATGGAATTAATTTCACATACATATCCATACCAAGTTCGAGTACCCTCCACTTCATAGATATTTATGCAGTATGAAAATTTCAATATTTGTGAGGCGACCCTTGATTTATGGAAATTAGTTTCAGTTAATGACCATCCATGGGAAAGTTAACGAAGTACGGTCCAGCTCATAAGCTATATTTGGGCATAATTTCATTTTCAAACAGGTGGCAAGTCTCCTCACTTGAACTTATTCATTTTATTTAACCTTTTTAACATGTGCAATTCTTTTAAAGAGGTAGCCTATTTTTCAATCTAGATCATAGAACATCTGCACATGTATGTATGTGAAAAATTTCATTCAATTCCGTTTACTCCTTTTCGCGTGATTGAGCCCCAGTCATCCGAGCTCACAAGCTCAGAAATATGAGTAGGATTAGAAAGATTAGAAGGATGTTGCCAAAATTATAATGGAAATCGTCATTAAAAATTCGGTACTAAAGCATATTAGCCATATATTTCTTTTTAATTGGACATTTTTTAAGATACATCAAATTCAAAGAACAAAGTTTTGTGCTTAACATAGATTTTGTAAATTTGACAAAGCATTGCTTTTTATTAAGCCTTCATATGCAGAATTGTAGTTTTCACATTTTTTCCTCACTATTTCTGCTCTTATCCGGTTTACCCAAAAGCCAAAATGTTTCCATTTCACCTTTACCTTTAACCTTTACAAAGCCACGCGATTCAATTTTATAGCCTGCCTCACGCACTTTCTTTGCTGTGTAATTGGATAATTGTATTTTATATGGGTCACTGCTGCTTTCCATGCGTGAGGCCGTATTCACTGTGTCCCCGAAGAGACAATAACGCGGCACTTTCAATCCCACTACACCCGCCACCACAGGACCCGAATTTATGCCCACCCTTATAGCCAGGTCGGGTATCTCTAAAGCTTTGACCTTCTTTACAACACGCAAAGCGAAGTCACCTGCATGCGCTGCATGCAATGGATTTATATCGGGGGCACCCGAAACAGCCATATAAACCATGCCCACCGTCTCCACTTTATATACAAATGGTGAAATTATTTCTTGGTCGAATGCGGAAAAAACGGTATTTAATGTGGTTACTGCTGTCATGGCATCGCGTATATCATTCGTATCGCCAGCATAGATGTTCATTACTTCTATGAATATGACAGAGACTTCCTCGAAAGACTGACAAATAGCCTCCTCGCCGTTACGCATACGTTCGGCGATTGTACGCGGTATCATGGAGTAGAGCAATTCATCACCTTGACGTTTCCATGAATCGGCAAGTTCTAATGATTTTTCCAATTCATCAGAGCGTTGCTCTTCCTTCTCGAACATTATTTCCAATTTGGAGCAATGCTGCCAGCCGGCCATTACCAACTCACGACTCAGGCCGTGCGGGTTCAAGTCATTCAGGAATAGGCCAATGCCATGCAGCTCATCCAAATTTTCGATGAGTGGACTGCACAGATAAATAAGTGAATCGATGTCTTTGAGGTGAAACATTTGGCCTTTCAATAATATCGCCTTGTTGCCATGTGAAATTTTACGTTTACCAGTTAGTGGATCGATATCTTCCTTCGCGTCGACATTCAACAAGTTTTCCTCACTACTAGTCAAAACTTCATTCACCTCCTTTTCTAAATTGTGATCCATAAGCGCATCGTAAGCTGCCTGATTGCGGCCAGTGCGTAATAGTTCGAATTCAAAAAGCACATAACGCATTTGTATAATTTGATCCCAACTGATCTTGATGTCCTTGGGACGGCGGCATCTGAAAATGTCCATGAGATGAGAGCCAAGAAACTGGGAGGGGCTCTTGCCCTGATTATGAAGTATCCAAGTATCAACGATTTTTTCACCTGCCGACGAAATGACCATATCACGATTGAGCAAAACAGTGAAGGGGAAAAGATCTAAAAATATGTCAATATTGACTTTTGGTAATATTTGTTGCGTTGGATGGGCCACCACATTAACACGCTTTGCCATATATTCCCGATTATCAAAGTCCAAACGATATTTCACAATCACCGTCAATGGTTCGTGGCTTAATTTAATGGGCCCAGCAATACCACCATTTATGTCATTTTGACTTTCAATCACCGAACACTTTACATTCAAATTATAGAATTCGCGTCCTACTTGCGTCAACTGGCCCATCAAGTATTTCGAAAACCCTGTACGTCCGCTGCGATACACCATCACCGCACCATCATCATCTACCTCTATTAGCTGCATTGAGGGGCTTTTCATTTTCGGATATGTAAAACGCATCTGGAGATGTATATTATCGATGGATTGTAAAAAATCACAGAAATAGCGACCCGTCGCACGTATCATCTTATCATAGCCGAAGTTGGTGAAGAAGCGCACAAAGCAATTGCCAAAGAAGGACATACACCAATCGAAAGATTTCCCTGTAAGCGCAGACAATGCGGCAGCTATATCGGGCATTAGCGTGTCAGGATATATCTGATGCGTTTTGAAGGTATTGTGGCGGCAATCGATAATTTGGCATACTTGCCGCCAAATATCTTCACCAAATTCCTCTTGAATGAAATGTTGAACGGACTCAAGAACCATGCCATACATGATTGCGGCTTGACTTTGGCTTTGTGACTATTGACAACGAAACCGCTTAAGTTATTTAAGTATGTATGTATGTGTATGTAGGTAAATATATATTTAAGTGTATCAATGGGTATTGTTTTTGCTTTTGATGCTTCGTTGTTTTGCGTTGAGTGTTCCTCCTTCCGTAAGTGATTGTACAATAAGCTGTGCGTTAAGTCGGTAATTTTGCGGGCGTGCGAGCATGACAAGTGGGTGTCGGTAGCAAGCGGTTAACGAGAGCTGAACACTCTTGTGTGGCTGCCAGGGACAGCTATTTGTAGAACGATTAATAAAGTTTGCTTGCAGTAAACGAAGGTTGTTTTAGGATATATTGTTTAGGATTAATAAGTAGTTGGGAAATACATCTGGTGGTTTTACTTATGTAAATATTTGGTATCTTAGCTTTTGTTGATTAAAATTTTAGGTTTTAGCTAACCTACTTTTTTGTATAAATTTTCTGTATTGTTGCAACCTCGCAATTAGCCTTTCATATGCATATCGTCGTTTAAAGTACAAAACCGCGTATCAACAAAATCAAAACGGCGTATCAATATAATGCAAAACCGCGTATGTGAGGTTGCATAAATTATTTTCTAGAGAGTAAAAATGCTCACATTTCAAAATGGTTCTCTTTTTTATAAAGCAATCTATTTATTATGATTTGTTGTTTTATTTAGTTTTTTGTTATGACATTTTAAAATTTTTATTATTTTTTTTTTTAAATACCATGTGGTTTTATTTGAAAGTAAATATTTTTCCTGTTTTGGTAAAGTTTTGTATTAAATTAACCTTTGCTAATTTTCGGTTTCATGGAATTTAATCTTAATTGTATATTATCTGTCCTACAATTGTATGAATTATTGGTTATTTTACTTTATTTTATTTTATTTTTATTAGGTAATTTTTCATTTGAGTTTGTTTTGTCTTACTCCGTTTTATTTTATTCTAATTTATGGTTTAAATACTTTATATTTTTGTTATAAAAATTTTAATTTTATGTTTTACAGAAATAAATTTTTCCATGTATGCATCATTTTTACCTCATAGTTTATGCGTTTTCAGCTTCTTTGATTGTCTTCTACTTTTTTGTATTTCCAACCCCAATTTTTTTCCTTTGAATAATGAAAATTGTGTTTTCGAAAATTTTGAATTTTTTAGAAATATGTAAGTCCTTATAATATTATTTTAATGTTTTGTCAGGATTTTTTTTTTTTAATTTGTTTTTATATTTTTATTTCATGGCAAGTCTGCAGTTAATGCTGTTATATGTGTTTGGCCTTTTGTTTGTTTGTCACTTCTTAAACCTTTTTTTGCCTTTATTGGTTTTCTTTTACTTAATAAACTGAGTTTTTGCAATTTTTGGTATTAATTTTAAGTGTTCTTCTTTATTTTTAATGTTACACTTTCATTTGGTCTGCGAATTTTCGAATGATTTTGTTTCGCTTTAAAAATTATTTTGATTTATTTACAAACATAGATCTTTTTGCAGCTGATTATAAATTTTATCGCATGCGATTTTCAACTTAGATCGAGCAAAACTTTGTGCGCTTCAAAATTTGTTTTTCTATTTCTGCCACGTTTGAGGTAGCTTAAGTGTACTACTCGGTAATTGAGCATGTAGTAAATCAGTTAAATAAACGAATTCACATCATTTCCGCTATCCCTTTCGCTTCTTTCTGCTACTGCTGCCGCTGTTACTTTTGTCACTAATTTATTGCAATTTCCTGAGCATGTCTCGCAAAATCCTGCACGTTCATTGCTGTTGTTGACGTCTACAGGTGGGTGTGAGTTTGCTGACCAAATCTTAAGCAGTGGAAATACATACATACATACATACATATGTATGTTCATACATAAAGCTAACCGGTACCTAAAAAACTAGATCTTTTCTTCGGTTTTTATTGTAGTTCTCGACTAAGTAGAATTTATTAATGTAAATTTTTAGTTACTCCAGTAAAAAGTATTAAATGTTCCAAAAGGATTTTGTGAACGCCAGGATATAGTACTTCCAGGCTTTTTACTAGTATTCTTTGAAACTTGTCACTGTATTTGACTCGTAGTAAATTAAATGGAAATTTGTACTTTATTGATGTAGTCGATTTTTTTGTTGGTGCGCATTTTCACTTTATTATTTTCACAGCACGTTGACATTTAATCTGCGAGCCATTATTTAAATGCTCCTTTCGCGTTTGATACATATGTATACTTATGTATATGGGGCGTTCCATACCAAAACGGACGCTGTTGTGGTTGATTTGTATAATTTTTTTACATAAACAACAACATAATAAATAAATATGAAATTTGAGCTTGATTAATACATTTTATTTTTCAACACATTACAGCACTAAAACAAAACCAAATCGATTTAATAGTTTTCCAAATATCTCGAGAACGGGGCGAGGAAAAAAGTAAAAAAAATCACTATACACACATCAAAATTCTTTATGAAAATTATTATGAAAAATTTTTCACATGCACATTTTGTGATAAAAAATAGTTTTTGAAAATATGCCATCTCAAAAAAAAACTTCCAAAAAAAATCACAAGGGTAGCTCTGAATATTGCGCAATATTTAAGTAGAGTATTATGGGCTGCACTCTACAATTATTTGAGTTATGAATTTTATTTTACACCCAAGTTGGGTAAAATGAGTATATTACAAATTTACTAACTTTTTTTTTAGAATTTTTTCGAGTATGCAGTTTTGTAGCACATTATATTTTAGTATAATAAAGTGTAAGTTTTAAGCTACTGCAAAATTGCGTTGATTTTTTTATGCTGACGGCCTTTTGCACTTTTTTCTTATGGAAAAAAATCGCAAAACCGTTTTCAAAGAAAATTAAAAAAAAATTTATTAGCAATCGCTTAAAACTTGCACTTTATTGTACTAAAATTTAGTAGGCTACAAAACTGCATACTCAAAAAAATTCTAAAACAATTTACAAAATTTGTAAATTTGGAATGTAATCAACTTCGGTATAAAAAAAAGTTCATAACTCAAATAATTGCAGAGTACACCCCATAATACTATACTTTAAAATTGCGCAATACTCAGAGCTACCAATGTGATTTCTTTAATTTTTCTTTGAGAAGGCATATTTTAAAATTTTTAAAATATTTCTTTTCATAGAGAATTTTTATGTGTGCATGTGTGATTTTTTTTTAATTTTTTCCTCGCCCCTTCCTTGAGATATTTGGAAAACTATTAAATCGAATTGGTTTTGTTTTTGTGTTGTAAAGTTTTTAAAAATGTATTAATCAAGCTCAAATTTCATATGTAATTATTATTTATGTTTATGCATCAACACTAAAAATTTTAAACAAATCAGACGCATGAAGTGTGAACCCCGCCCGTTTTGGTATGGAACACCCCATATACAAATGTACTATACATTTATGTTGGTACGTATGTATTTGCGTACTCCCATTATTTTTGTAACCAGTTTCACTTTTCCAAAGGGCACCTCTGCGCACATCTCTCTGCCAAGTTTAGCTTTCGTTTCCGCAATTTGTTTCTCTCTTCCCTTTTTATACTCTATGCATCCAACGTGTCTGTCCCCTCGTTTCGCCCTTGTACCAGAATTCACCATCGGTTACGACGTGTTTGCTTTAGCTGTACTTCTTGTGGCTGCTCTGCTGCTACTAAATGCTCCCGCAGACTGACTCTTGACTAAATACATAAATAAAAGCGCTGTGATGAAGAACTTAGTTCGCATGTATGGCAAAATATGTTTTCATGTTTGTATATATGTACATAGTACCTATATAAATATATATTTATGTATATGTACATGTACATATGTATATATGTATGTATCTCCAAAAAGTATCAGTCAACTTTTTAGCCAACAGTCCTTTCAATTTGCGCCCTGCTGTCGTATTTCTCGCTTTTAGCCAAACACAAACGCGAAAATAAATGAATGTTCAGCCACTCACAGAAGTATTCGTAATCTAGTTTTTTTCCACAATATCTAAAATGTTTTCCATCATGAATCTGTTTCGTTAATTTTCATTTAAAATATTGCTCACTCTATAACAAAAACCATATAAGTCAATCTTGAAAACTTGGTACAAAATTCACAAAAATTAATCAAACATCAAAAAAAAATTTCATCAAAATTTAAAATTTTTTAATCAGAAAAATTAAAGAATATGCAGTTTTGCAGCCCGTTCAAATTCAAGAGCAAGTTTCAAGAAGCTAAAAATTACCGTTGATTTAAAATTTTTTTTTTTGTCGAGGGTGTTGCACCTTCCTTCCATATAAAAATAGACTTTGTTCATGCGTTATATGGAAGAAAACGCGCAAATCCCTCGAGAAAAAAATCTGAATAAAAGTTTGAAATTTTGATGACATTTTTTTTAAGTTTCATTAATTTTTGTGAACTTTGTACAAAGTTTGCAAGACTGATTTAGATAGTTTTTGTTATAAAAGGAGCTACATTTTAAATGAAAATTAACGAAAAAGATTTATGATGGAAAATATTTTAAAATATTATGAAAAAACTAAATTACGAATACTTCTGTGAGCGACTGTAAACATGTACATATGCATGTATGTACATGCTTTTTATTTACGGCTATATGTATGTATTTGCATTGTATGTATGCACTTATGTCACTTGGGAGGCATTTCTTTTTTGTTACTTTATTTTATGCCTTTACTTGTTCTTGCTTTTAGACTCCCATTATTGCTAGAATCCTCATTGTATTCTTCATTGTGTTATTAATTTTATATTTATTGCTACTTGTGTCGCTTATGTTTCAGAAAATTATTTATTTGCTCTTTCTTGTTGTTGCTATTTGCCGGTTTTTTGTAATGTTGTTGTACATACAATTGTTGCTGCTGGTGCTTTCGCGCTATGCGTGAAGCTCTTTTTCCGTGCAAGAGCTTCCGCGACTTTTGCTTCTTCAACTCGAAATGCGGTTTCAGCTACATTGGGGTGCCTTTTATAGTTGGCAGCGCAGTCAATTGCTTTTTTCATTGGCGATAATCGAAGCTCATGTTGCAAAATGTCCTTTGGAGCATAGCTGTGATGGTTATAGGATATGAGGGGGTCGATTAGGAGGTTGTGCGCCTTGACGTTCTTTCTTCATGCTTGTCGCTGTAACCGCCTAAGCGATTTTGGCCCAGTCGTACAAAGTACGACAGTCGTTTCTCTTCTGTACGAACTGACCCCAATTGGATAAGCTAAGTGAAGCCAAGCACTTCTTCGCCTGGTATTTCCAATGCAGAGGGGCCTCTCTCTTCTTCTGCTACCCCCACGTGTTCCGAGTTGAATACATTCAGAGCTAGAGCGTTTCTGTCCATTCGAACGACAGACCAAACCAGCGTAGTTTAATTCGCTGCACGATGGTAAAGCTCATACAGCTCATCGTTAAATCGTCTGCGGTATTCGCCATCGCCAACGCGCAAAGGCCCGTAAATCTTCCTCAGAATATGCTTTTCATTCGTCTACTCAGTCCAAAGTAGCACTTGTTTCTCCTTTAGATTTCGAAGTTAAAATTATTATTGGTGGTAATGCTGGTTCCTAAATATACGAACATACGTCGTCTTTTCCAATATTTTAACTGTCAATAGTGACGAGATCCTTATGCTCTGACTGTTTGTTGACGACGCGACCCCACGCTTAGCTTCTCTATCCAATTCCGAGAAGGCGGAACAGACGTAGCCGTTGTTTTTACCGATGATGTAAAGAATTGTGCCTGAGCGGTTGAGTTCTGTGCCTCTTAATATCACCTCCAACATCAGATTGAAGAAATCCACGCAAGGGAGTCACCTAGTCTGAAACATCGGTTGGTATCAAACGGCTCGGAAAGGTTCTTCCCAATTCTCATTTCGTCCGATCTCTTCTTATTGCGGAAAACACGTCTAGCTCTCCTTTTTAGCTGCCTATAACGGTCCCACATAGCTGACATTGCGTCCGATCGCAGCGTTACCCTATAGGCGGATTTTTTTTTTCTCTGCAGCTTGTTTTTTTGGGGTCGCTGAAATCCGACCACTTCTTCTTTTTAGTTTAGTAAGACCCAAATTTATTAAATGTAGCTTCGGAGAGACGGGCGTTCGGTATGTGTCGATTATTTTTCATTTAAGCTCTTTTGTTCCAGAAGTACTTCAAAAAGCGTCGTGTTTGGAAGTCGTATTACGAGGTAATTGGCGCAAACAATGGAACTGATTTTTTCTGGCTTGGGCAAATCACACTGAGATTCGAAACTTCGGATATATGTATGTATATTCATCAGCTTTTACGTATATGTGCATGTTTATATGTGTTTTTAATGTTTTGTATGTACATACAAGAATCGCCATGAAGGGTGAAGCCGAATAAGTCTTTGGACGAGAAAAATTTTTAAGCGGTATTTTAACATGACATACTTATGTACATTTGTATCCTATACATACATACCCAACGGGACTGAAAGTTAGCTGTTCCCCAAAGGAGCAAGTATGGAACAGTACAAAAGCAAAGTAAAAAATAAATTCTTAAATTTCTAACAACCCAGCGGACCAAATGCTCGCAAATGATAACGCATGCGAGTGAAATGCGAGATTTTGGAGTTGGAAGGAACATCGTTGGTGAGCATTTGGCGATATAATTTGCAAGGTTGTTTTGATATTTCTAGCGATAAGGATAAAATACTAAATGTGATACGTTTTCGATTCAAAATAGAATATAAAAAAAAAAATATTTTTGCCGAGCCGGCATTAATATCAAAGAAGAATCGCAAAAGATATCACAAACGGTTCGCAAGAAATAAGGGTTGAAAGACTTTTATTTATTTTATTCCCCATTAACAAATATTTTTTATTATTAGTTAATGCTTCTTATTGTTTATATATGTATATTGTTTAAACTAAAATTCGGACATAGAAGAAATTAAAAACTGAACTTTCACATACATAACTTAATAGTATTACGCACTTCTTTGGCAGCTTAAAGGAATCTATTTCATGAGTATAAATAAATTAAACATTACGAAAACAAGACACTCTTTAGCCATTGAACATCTAAAAAATTTAACTGATGGAGACATTTATAGATGAAACTTCACTCCTTAACTGATCAATTTTATCAGTTGTTGTCCTCTGGGTTTCCATAATCTTCGTTATTAGGTTCAATATGTCTGTAACCGTAATAAATAAATCTTGTAAGTAGGCATTTAATAAGAAACTGGGCCCGAATCACGGTTCTCGTGAACGAGTGAACGTTCGAATATAGTATACTTACTTTTTAGACCAATTAAATAAAGTCCGGAAAGGAGCGACATAGTCAACATTATTAATTACATTTTATATACGGGAAGAGATTTTGTAAATTTGTTAAGTACCATTTATAGTAAAATGCATTAAAGAATTGTCTAATTAAAAACATGTATATATTTTCATCCAAGGCCGGATCAAATAGTATTAAAAATATGCTACAGAAGCACAACAGCGGACAACATCTTAGCTAAGTAGCAACGACATGCTAAAACAGTATGTTTGAGATGGAAGGACATGGCACAACAGCTTGTTTGAGTTGACTTGATATAGCAATGCACGCAATTTTTGAAAAAAAACATTTTTACAGAAAATGCTGAATTTTGCAGTTCTTTAGTGTGTATGTATTTTCGTATGTATACCACATAGAAAAGAAAAAAACATGTTTATATGTAAGTTAAGTGTGTATAACCATCAAATGGGTTACAAAAACGCCATAAAAATTAAAATTTAAATTCATCGCTTTCATTCAATAAAGTATATTGATGCAAAGTGTTAAACTTTGAGACTCAACAAAACTAAATATAATAGGATATAAAATATGAAAGAATATAAAAAATGCTGGATTTACTTTCTTAAACATTATAATATTTTTATGTAGAGGCACTTGACAGATTCGGAGCTTCATCGATGTTTGTTTCCTTGACGACTACAAATGAAAGGAAAATTATAAGAAAAGCAAGCAAGCAAGTTTTAGTGAACAGTCATACATGTACTTACTTTTAATTACATTAAGTAGTGCTCCTGGCTTAGGCTTGCCGTTGATAGGTAACTGATGAAATTGCCTATTTATCAAGTCCCACATTGCAGCGAAAGGCGCAGCGAAGGCGATGTTAAAAACATTGTATGCTTAAAAGCATAGTATATCCACAGCTTTAATATTTAATTTTGTATTGTTTTTTTATCCAGCAAATCCCTTTTTAAAACGTTTAATATTATATCATATGTTTCACAGCAGCCAACAATTAATTCCGCAATGACACGCGATACAAAAAATATGATGAAATATTAAACTGATGGTAATTGAGTATATTGTACGAAAATATTCGTATGTTGTACGAATTTAAAAAACATGTTTCTGCATTAGTACTTTATACGAAAGTATTAACTAAATTTTACGAATACAGAATTGTAGATTTCGTAAATTTAAAACCATACGTAAATATTACGAATGCCTTCCTACAATATACAAAATTATTCGTACAGAGATTTGTTCAGTGCTTTACGAATATGTTTCGTAAAATAAACGTAAGATTTCGTAAATTGTACTGAAAAAATGCCTTTCGAAAGTCCTTTCGTTATATTTACGTATGGTTCGTAAAATCTTGTTTCGTTGTGAAAAATGTGTGCGTATTATGAACGAAAGTTTCGTACATTGTACAAAAGCCAACTCTACGAAAGATTTTCGT